CTTCTCTCCTCTCTCTCTCTCTCTCTCTCTCTCTCTCTCTCTCTCTCTCTCTCTCTCTTTCTTTCTTTCTCTCTTCCAGCCGTTCCTCCGTTTCAATTAGTTAATGCCCACAAGTAAAAAGGGTACCGCGCGTTCTCGGATCATTGCGAGGAAGAAATCAATCCGCTGGAAAGCATCTTGGTGTAAACGTCACGAATTTATCTCAATAAATCGACATTCCGATGAGGAACATTTAAAGCATTAATCCTAACGCCGATAATGCAGAAGGGTAAAATCTGCTCTTACCATCGGCTAATCGTTCGATACCAGTTCCCATTTTACTTCCAAAGAATGCAGCACTTTCAAGTAATTTCAAATTATTGGGGAATATTGGATATTTAATAAAGGATAAGCTACTTTATCCTTGACATTTTAGCAATAGTCATTTGCAAACTTCAGAAAAACATAATATATGCCTTAATGACGTGCCTTGACAGTACGAGTTTCATTCCGTTTAGCACAACTTGTTGCAATTTGCATCTCTTAACAAAGAAAAATATTTTAAATACTTTCATGACATATATATATATAATGCATGGATTAAAATTGATCGATTTTTTGAAACAGACCGACTCCTAATACTTGATAGCTTTGAATTTTGACATGTTTGCAAAATATATTCAAAATAAATTTCAAATTTGGTGGATTTTGTTTGGAAACAATTGACGTGATAAATCTGGCAGAGAAAGTATCGATTCCGTGTGATCGCGGGATTTTAATTATTCGTCTCGGTGCCTGAATTGTCCTCGGAAAAAAAATCAGGAAGCGGAGACTCGCGCGATCGCAGCTAAATGTTTTACGCGACCGTCGACCGGCGCCTCTAGCCGATCGCGGAATTATTCGTGAAAGTAATTGGGGTCTCTCGTTATGAAACTCATCTCTCAAGAAAGTAATTCGACGATGGTGTAAGGTACTTTCGTAATTCTCGGCTGCATCCCTAATTGGGCCTGTGCATATGCCAATCGATTCCCTCCTTTCGGTCACGCGTCCCGCTCGCGCTGAAATCGTAGGAGCGAATAACGCGCAGATGGCCGTCGACATTCAAGAGGAATCTTTCGTCGTTCGTTGCGATCGATACGCGCGAAAATGCGATTTGCGAACTCGCGAATCTGAACCGCTCTCCCGCGAGTCCCGGATGCCTTTTGATCCCAGAATCCGATCCCGAGATCGCATTAGGGAGGGACTGTTAACGACGGTCGATAATGCTCGTTGTAAAATTCCAATTTTGGAGAATATCGGTTCTACTAAAATATGTGAAGATATTTAATAAATAACATGATTGAAATCGATACAATTCTCTTTTATGTGATATTTTACTAAGCAAAAGATGGTGTTACAATTGTGTGTAACAGGACATTCTTTTACTCTTCGAATTGGACTTCATGTTGTATATTTATGTTATAAATATGTATCATATGTTATATATACATCATTTGTTAGATTATATGAAATTTATAAGATATATGTGTATAATTGAAATTATTTCAATGTTGCGACTCTATCGATAACCGGTTTGATAACAAATCAAAATATCAAAGTAAATTTTCATAAAAGATTATATCATGAAAGAAATGTCGGCGCCATCAAAATAAAGCAATAAAATAAATATATTGTATTTATTTGTTTATTTTATACTGTTATTATACAAGTGTATGAACCAAAGAGGTCGCTAATTAGCAGAATCTATCAAATAATATAATTATCCAAATTCTAATAACACAGACAACTCAATCGAAGAGAGACAGAAAGAAGAAGAGTTAGCTTATGAGCGAATGTTAAAATTAAAATGCGAATCATTATTCGAACGCGGAAAAATAAAATTATTTAAATTTGTGTAAATAAATTGGAGCAAAAAGTAATAAAAATTTATCTATGTAAGAATTTAATCCCGCCTTGAAATGGAATATAAAATTAAAATGTATCGTGCATCGTGATACCAACGGCACTATTTCGTCATTCACTTTGAACTTGGGTTACAAATTAACACATACAAGCGAGATAAAGAGACTTGTCGTGATTATTCGCACTGACGGGATTATTTGACGATCGCGAGACTTAATAAAAAGATTGTGTGGGCCGTCAAATGTGATTGAAGGTGGCATCGCCGATGGAAGATTGCGGAGGTGTACGCTTCCTTGCGGAGGATTCCATCGACACTCGGCTCCTTGACGTTTCTCCAGGGAGTTTCGGCTTCGCGACGGAGGACGATAGTGGCGTAGGGTGCATATCGAAGGGAAGATGAGAATGAGCGAAGGGAAGGAAGGGTAAGCGAATAGATGAAGAAACTCGATGGAGAAGCGAAGGAGAGAGAGAACAAAAGAGAGAAAGAGAGAGAGAG